CCGAGCTTCTCCCATACTATGGAACTCCCTACCCCAATCTGTCCTAATCTATCTACCTTTAGACGATCCCTGAAAACCCTTCTCTTTAAAGAAGCCTATCCTGCTTCTAACTAGTAAACTGCTTTTTACTTCCTCCATCAGCTCATCCCCCACCGCTATTACCTTTTGTATCACTCGACCCTTCCTTCTAGATTGTAAAATTTAATGAGCAGGGCCCTCTGTTTCCTCTTGTACCAAATTATATTGTAACTGTAATGTCTACCTTCATTTTGTAAAGTGCTGCGCAAACTGTTGGCGCTATATAAATCCTGTATTATATTAATAATATAGAACCATTTCGCACTCCTGCACTCACTGCCATTGCACATCATGCTCTTCTATCTTCTATATTTATCACATTTGTACTAATATATATATATATATATATATATATATATATATATACATATATACAGTATATATATATATAGTCTCAAGGGTAGCCAGCCAACCGCACACACTCGATGTATGAAGTGAATGCCCAGGTGCTCACCCACAAATAAATGAATACAAATCTAAAATAGGTAGAGAGACACTCATGGTCTTGCAGCAGAGGTAAATCAAAGCAACAGTATTTTATTGTCAGCGTTTTGACGGAGCTCAGAGACATCTTGAGAAAGAAGGACTGAACTCTGTTGATAATATGATGTTGCTTTGATTTATCCCTGCTGCAAGACCACAATACTGTATTTATATAAAAATACCCAACTTATCCTTTTTTATCTTCATTATTAGTCACTAATTGTTAAATGTGAATTATACTCATCATGCATATATTGACTGTCATACGTATGGTATATCTGATTAAAACGTGATCCATGATGCTAGTGGCTCATGACATATACCACTGTCCTATTTAATAAAAATCTAATCTGATGTTAGTATATATATTTGTGCTTGCTCTAGAAACATGAAATGGATTCTTACCTTTTGGTTTGGCATTGGAAGTTATACAGAACTGCTGAGCACTGGCTAAGAGTTGCAGCTCGGAACAATCTGATTCATCCAATTCTTCCACTACTGTCAGTGTCGCCTGCATGCCCAGCTCCCTGTCCCTGGCTATGTTGTGAGAGGCTGCAGCAGACTGAGGGGGTGCACATGAAACCCTGGTACCTGCTTTCCTTGAGGTTTCTACATTCTTGTGATTTTTAAGTTTTTTATATGGTTGTTTAACGTTCTTTTCAGTTGTCCCCAATCCGCCATCCTGCTGGAGGGAATGTTGTCTGTGTTGAGCCTCCATACATCTGCACATCTTCTCTTCTTTAGGTTTTTTGGTGTGATGTTCAATATGTTTTTCTCTTTGAAGATATCCAAAGGGAGACGGTTGGCAGCTTATAACTGACATTTCAATATATTGTTTATACACTGTGAAGCAAAAGTATGGGCGCTATTAAAAAGTCTATTCTTCTGCCAAATTGTGAGCTTGTAAACATGTAGACTGAACCCAGTTGGGTCCTATATCAGTTTCTCTTCTCTCCGCCTGCTGCTGTTTCTATCCCAACCAACCGGATGCTTCTTAATCCTCTACAGGGGGCTCTCCGGCCTGTCATCCCAACAGATGGGTGAGCATAAAAGGAGGCAGAATGTCAACTAAATTCTTGTAAGGATTATAGAAGAAGAGAGACAGTTGAGATTCTTTACTCATGACAACTGGCAGTTCTACCACACAAGCCTCTCCCTGGTCTAGGACATTTAAGTTTATTTACACTGCATCTTTACAGTCTACCTCTGCATTGGAAAGGTAACAAAACAAAGAATAAGTAACTACCTTATGCACATTGAAGTAAAAATAAATATAATGGTCCCCAAATATGCTCACTTGTTTAGCTTTTTTTTAATCATTTTTAGCAGGTGTTCCAAACACCAGGTTCTATAGTACTGTAATCATTTTTGTGCAGGCATGTCAAGCTTCTCTTACCTTGGCTATGTGGATATCCAAAATTATATATATTATATATATTTGCTGTATATAGCTTGTGTAAAGATCGTACAAAAATAAAACAGCCTTATAATTCATTAAGCTACTTAATAAATGATATGCAGCGAGATTTCAGCATTGTAATACCTGCATCAAATGTATGCAAAATTATTTTATGAATAATTATATGAAAGATCTGAAATGTTTGTTTGCTGCATTTACCTATTCAGTAAGCCAAAAAAAGCTAAGCACTAAGAGCAAACTGCAACATAGTTATCAATCTCTCAGAAAAAAAATATTGAAAGATATTCCTGCCATAATGTGAACATAAAAAAATGATGCAGTAACCCAGAGTAATCAGACTGCGCCCTTCATCAGTCAACACAATGGGATGGCTGCTGGTTGGTTGCTACAATTTATTCCACTTTGTAACATACCCATTGCCCTTTCTCTACGTTTACATTCACTTGCATTATTCATTTAAATATTTCTGACTCACACAAACTACAAGAAAAGCCCATTAGAATTACAATAAAGACATACAGCAACACATCGGTCAGCTTTCTAGATCTCAGCCTATGTTGTGGAATAAAATACAAGGCTTGTATTGAGGCCATTGCTGTGGCTATTCTGGGAAATGAGGGAACTGTTGGTTGTCTTGATTTCCAAAACCAAACAGCACAGAGAGAGAAGAGAATGAGAATTAATAGTAATGTTTACTTTGGATCAGACATTGTGCAAGCTTTCCTTTATGGGATGACAGCATGACACATCCACATGACAGGTCACCATGTTTGCTCAGACACCAATGGCTTTCAGAGCAAAATTGGATTCCTGTGAACTTCTGTGCTAGAGGCTGAATAAAAGTTTGCACTGTGGGCCTTCAATTATGACAAAAAAGCAGCGTTTAGACAGAGGGTCACTGTGTATATCATTTATTGTGCATAATGTAAACAAAGTGCAAATAAAAGTCTCACATATTAAAACTTGAAAACACTCTGAACCCCATTGAATATGTCCATAAAAATAGAATTCAACATTTTTAAAAAACTTTACATTTTAGAACCAAACATTATCAAGATGGAAAATATGTTGACCAAAAAGCAATCTGAATTATAAGAAGTAGTCAAAGTGGAACTAAACACAATCATGTCAAGTGTAACTGAAATTATTACATTTTCCCCACTTCCCATTGTCATCCTCCCCATTTATTCATAATCCACCAGGTATAAAAAACAAAACAAAAAAAAAAACAAAAAGACACCACAAGGTCCCTGCTGAAGTGGGGAGCTGCTGGTGTGAAATCTAAATTCATGTGTCGATGTTAGGGATGAATAGAGGAGACCATGGGAGAACCTTTCATCAGAATGACCATTCCACTTTAATTGAAGTCTAACCATTACATCTCTGTTATTCGATACATTCTGAAAGAACTGCAGTCAAGATGAAACACATCAGTCAATATTGTTTTAGACATCACATTTTATTCAACATTAGAAGTATCTGCAACTGAAATGAAAATGGGTTTATTGCAACCATTCACTTTTGCCAATAGTGGCGACCATAATTGTTTCTGTTGCATGCAAGTAAATGATGTGTAATGTATAGCTCAATGTACAGATCATTCAGGTGAACTTTTATCACTGAGGAGCTTTTCAAGTTGCTATTTTTATTCTAGAGGAATGATACTTTAGAGGTATGATACTACATCTGCCAAAATTTGGCACAGGCAAATAGAAACATCACTGATGACACTCAGCAGTTGGTATTACAAGTATTTGGACTTCAAAGTCAGATGACCCAACAGGTGATTTGTAAGATCACAGCAATTGTTTTCTCAAAACTGGAGAGCTACTGGTGACAGAAAACTCTTTAGTAGACACAGGGGTCACACAGATGATGTGAGAGAAGATTGTTTAAGTGGTTATTACCTTTAAACCCTGAAAGCTAATTTGTGTTAACTTGGAGTTGCGCTGTCAGAAAGCAGTGGAATGTTTCCCTCTATTTAAGTCACCTTTACACTTTCATTTTCAAAGACTGGATTACTAGTGCAGACACTATCTTGTTTTGTATTGTATATCACAGAGAGATAACATTTTGACTGTGAAAAACCAAGATATGCTAATATTAAACAGGTTCTTGCAGTCCGTTTAAGTATCACAGCATATAAAATTCAATAATCTTTTAAGGTGTCAGTCATTTAGAAATACATGAGTTAAGTAAGATATATGTTTTTAGCAGAGCATTATATCTGTGTCAAAATTGAATCTGTAATATTTTAACATGGATCAGTTTACTATAAATGAATATGTAAATTGGGGCAGCCATATTTACTCAATCCATATGCAGTCTCTGGTTTCTGCTTAGTAATACTTCACAGTGACTGTACATCATTGTTCCTTTCTTTAGTGCAAGCCTACAGCTCAGGTATGACCTGACTTAACATAATATACTTTCTATAAGTTTACCAGAAAATAAGTAAATATGAAAATTTCTTTAAAACTACCTTCAGTTAAATGTAACAACAGCAGCTCAAAATATATACATACTAAAATTCACTACATTTTTTTCTTTATTAGAGTTTGAAGTTATGTACATATCCCATCATTTTGTATGGTGTATTTTGTAATGTGAGTTAAGTATTTAAGATAAGTTCTAAATTCCACCTTGAAAAAGCATAGAAAGGAACTTTAGACCAGAACTAGAACTACCATTAATTTTTCAAGTTTGAATTCCAACACAAATGTGAAGCCTTTAAAATGAATTCTTCTCAGTCATTTCATACTTTTTATGGTGGTAAGCCCAAGAGTCAAATGAATATTCCACAACTGAAATTGATTCTGTGCTGTTCAACAATAAGTGGTGCCTATGATCCAATGGCCATACGGCCAAGACCATCTCTTAACTTATTCTTATATACAATACTGGGAGTCTGTCCACCCAATAAAAATGCATTGGCTTTCCAAATGTGTATAAAATACATTTCCAGTGGAAGAGGTAGACACCATTAAGGCTCAAAGGCAGATATCATGTAGACATCATTTCATGTAGACTTTTCAGATGGTGGCAGGTAGAGTTTGGGATCTCCAGGAAAAGGTTGTGCTGGAGCCTGGTTATAGTGACCAGCCAGGAATGTTCCAATGGATACAAGAATGAACAGAAAAAACATGATGAGGAAGCACACTCTGTCTATCACTCTGCCAATCAAAATCCATTCTTCATTTTCCTGAAAGAAAGTACATAAAAATAATCTAAAAATATGTTAAAAACAAAGTAAATTAACTCAAACCATGGGTAGTAGAGGGCTTAACTAAGCTTAAATCTACATTTACCCCCATTCTAAGCCTATTCTATCTACATCTGAAGTCATTGTGGTCCAGTCACATGATCTCTGCAGCACCAGCTTCAGTGTAGAGGAGAGATTGCCAGCAATGGCAGCCTATGCCTGGGTGATAATCAGCATACAATGGGGAAACCATTGTCGGCTGTCCCTCCTCTACACTATACCTGGCACTGGGACCAAATCATGTGACCAGATCGGAGAGACTTCAGCATAGGTAAGTATTGGCATCTTTCATTTTACAGGGTAGATAGAATAGGCTTAGAATGTGGGTGGGAGTAAATTTAGCTTAGTTAGAGTATGACTTGCCGTCCACTTTAAGAGTATTGCATCCTAACTGGCCATATAAGTCTATATATAATAATATTCTGGTTATAATTGGAGATTTTGGCAGTTTCTTCTTTTGTAGCAAGATGCTGGTTTTCAATGACACGTGTTCTATAGATAACCTTTCCAAACTAACAAAGTAATGCTTTGCTAATATGAACCCATTAATATCTGCTCCTTCTCATTGGTTTTACCAATATAGCCAAGAAAAGAAAGTTACTATGGCACTATGTTTGCTCGGACTATCAGTAAAAATCTCAGGAAAGAGCACAGTAGTTAAGTAGAACATGTTACCAATTAGTAGAATTCTTTTAAAAATATCTTTAAATAATGTAAGTGTAGAACCCTCTTCCCCTGCTTAACAGGAGAACTGTTGGGAAAATCGAATCGGGCTTTCTGCTTAACAGAAAGCTGCAATCGTTTAGTGATGCCTGCTCAATGTGCTCAAGTGCTGTTAGTTCTGTCTCTGGCTTCCTATATATCCAAATAACTTGGAAAGATTCTGGATGTATAGGTGGAACTCATGCAGAACACAGTATGAATATGAATGCCACTCCAGCCAATCCCAGGGAGTGTGGCCTTGAAAGATGCTGGGGGAGGGTATGTATTCTTTGAGTACACTGAGCCCTGAGTCTTTCCTGGAGAGGATTGTACAAGCTTGGGGGAAGGTACGCTGCCTCCTCAAGCACCTGTTGCAATGCGGCCTCAGGTGAGCAACCTGAGGAACTGAAGCAAGAGAGAGAGTGACCCTGACTCTTCAGAAAGTTGGCTGAGGGGGTGTCTACTGAGGATCTGATCTGGTATCATAGAGAAGAGGCTACCAGCTGTTCTTTTGGACCTTGTGAGTACAGACCTGCTAAGGATCTCATAACCCCCTCTGATGTGCTAGAGTCAGCTAAGGGTCCAGGCAAGTGAACACTGGGTAGTGTTCCGAAGACCTTTGTCCAGGTAATGCTGCTGCTAAGGGACTCTGCTGAACTCTGCTGTTGTTTCACTACTAGTCACAAGGAGATACAAGTCTGTCATCTGCCTCCTAAAGCTCAACCAGAGATCAGATAGTGTCCTTGCTGTAAACAGTTCTATTCTTGGAGTATCCTACTAAATCTCCTTCCTATCCAAGTTCTCTAACAAAAAAAAACTACTAAAATAACAATCCCTAGACTGATCATTGAAGACAATGAGTGGAAGTGTGTCTGCACCTGGGTGAGAAACTACCTTGTGCCTGGTTGTTAGACTAAAGTGGGGAATACCTGTCCTGTACCTATACCCCAGCGGCTCCCACGGAAGTAGCTCTGCATTGGAAACATTTTTTTATCATGTGTGTCTTCAAATGCACCCCTGCCCCTTTCCTCCTTGCTCCCTGTTACTGTTTTAATTATATTTAAATTTAATTTTTAAACTGTTGTTTCTATAGCCATTCTGATATTTTCCTTTACTATCTGTATGGTCAACAAGAAAGAAATCTCTCCCACAGGGGCACAAAAAGTAATAAAACTTAGAGTGGGGAAAGGTGAGAACTTCTGTCAGGCAATAAACCTGACAGGGGTGATTTATAACCCTACCCCACTCTAACCATAACAAAAAAAAATGACTCACACTTTTAAAATTGTTCTTTTCCCTTGTAGTCCTTGCTATGTGGTTACAGGCTTCTACTGTGGCTCGTATCTCTGGAGTAGCATGGCTTAAACTGTGGATGAGATCTTGCACGGTGCCATTTGCCATTCCTTTGCCTGCAAAAAAAGTATAGGCATTATTCATGAAATTTAACATAATAATGCAAATCACAAATACAATCCAAAATTGTAAAGTTGGTACATTTTCTCACTTTTAGAAAAATATTAACTTTGAGAACTCAGGGATGAGCATATTAACACCCGGTCACACCGATCTGACTTTGAAATTGTGCGACTTCCAGTGATGTCGCACAATTTCAGAGTTGGATGTCATTCTGACTTTAGGTGCGACTTGCAAGACATATGTGTCTTGCAAGACATAGATGGCTATGCAAGTCACACCTGAAGTAGTGCATGCACTACTTTAGAAATTGGTGCGGCTCCAACCAAGTTGGAGTCACACCAATATGACCGATTAAATTGCGGACAAGAGGGTGCAACTTGCCATACGATTTTCAACTCGCATAGCATGGCAATTCGCATGGCAAGTCGCACCTGGTGTGATTGGAGTGTAAATTGATTTAATGTGTTTTTGAAAGCATCCTTTGGAATAAAAAATCATGTTCTATAGATTTTTGAACAGTAGTGTCCACCTTGCTGGCATTATGTATGATTACTGATGTGTTTTTTCTTGCATGTCTTTTAATGAAATATCTACGGTACTCTAAACCCTTTCTTGCTTCTAGCTTTAAGCAAACTGGGCTTAATTTCTAAATATAACACAATTCAATCATGTGTAATGAGAATGTATTAAACATTCAAGCACTTACTGGAATTTACAGTATTTATCAATGTTTTCACCCAAGATTCTTACATCTTTCATCCAAGATTCACCCACTTTCATATAAGATTTGATCAGAAAATGTATGAATCTTGGGTGATAGTTGTATGAATCTTGGGTGAAAACATTGATTTTTTTTTTTACTTTTGAGTAGAGTACGGAGTAGCTTCCTGTGCTCCCTTCTGCTTATCTTGGGATTCTACACTCTACTTATCTTGGTAACCATTGTCACTGAGACAGAATGTGATGGGAAATCCAGAATTTTTGGTTGTCGCAGAACTAGAATAGAGGGAGCACTTGTCAGTGGGGACAAATGTCCTGGGTCAACAATCTCAGGTGGGAATTCCACTCACTTAAATGAGTTAATACTGATGGCTGAAATAATGAGAGTAACATGGCTGTACATTCAATACCTATTTTTTCTAGCACCATTTTCATGAGTCCATCTCTCTCCTTCTGCCTCTCAAACATGAGTTCGGTCCTTGGCTTCTTCAGCATGTACTCATCAGCCTTGATCATCAGTCCAAGTGAACTGCAGCGCCTTGTGAGTGGAGCTGGAGGAGAGGCCATATCACTTTGGCGTACATGCATTCTAAGTAGACGAGGGAGCTTTCTTAAAAACAGCTAATTATGTGAATAAGTAAATAAATACGTAAATTAAATCGCAAAACGTGTTTTTACACATAACAATAGATTATGTAAAGTTTAAAATCACTTTACTTGGGTCAAAATTATAAGATCTCACACATATTATTAAGATTATATTTTATGCAATGTCATGGTCAGTGATCCTAACTGTGCCACGCATGCACAGAAATGTATATTAAAAGGGCAACTTAACTTTTAATAATGTTATCTTTTAAATCTCCTTCACCACCACACAGAGTGGCAGCTACCTACCAAAATACTTATCCTCAGCCCCAATCCTATGTTCTTCATTGTGTGGCCCTGTCATGCACTATAAATAAATCCAGGCCACATCTACGGCACATGAGCACCATTCATTCCATTTATTCCTTTGGTTGATCTATACTCTTGGCGGTCCCAGCCATCCAGAGGAGTATGGCAACAGCCATAAAAATAAATGGGTGAAGCAGCACACATGACCAGCAGGAGATGGACACTGCAGGGATTTTCTGTGCTACATCGGCAGAGAGAAAAGTCTTGTTTTCAATTGGTAAACAACTGTTGTCGGCTCCTTTCCTCATGTTATACAATTGGAGTACTGATTTTAAAAGATAAGATAACCTGCAAATGGTTAAATATTTTTTATGTTGGATAGTTTGGGAGGTTTATGGGTGTTGTAAGCTTAGCACATCATGTTTTAAAATACCATATGGATCAAAAGTTGCTGTCTGCATGAAGCTTTTGAATTGCAAATTTAGGAAAGTTATATCTGGTTTAAAGAACACTATGACCAAGCAGGATGATCCTGGGCCAATAATGAAGGTGCTTTGGGGCCACCCTACCTGAGTCTAACAACATGTTACCCCCCCCCCCAAAAAATAAAAAAAAACACCTAAGCAAGAAGACACAGAGTGCATATCTCTATATATCTGGTGCATGCATAGGCTCTGACTGTGCCTCAGATTTTTGGATAACTGGAGTGTTTATAGAGTTATTGCATTTTTCAGATAAGTTAAGAGTACCAGGGAGTACAATTAGTATCCTCTGTACAGTCATTTTGGCCTAGCTCAAGAATACAATGTGGTGGTCAGGTAATCTTAGTGTTACTTCCCAACACTGTTGCTTCATCATTGGCTTGTTCTGGTCACATCATTGAAAATGGGCTTTGAACAAATAGGAAATGTTTCAGATGTTTTTAGGAATAACCAAATATAACAGTATTTTATCTCCAGTCACATCCCCTAGTACACACATTTGGGTTAGAGGTGGCACACAAAAGGCCCTTCTGACTCTAGGTAATATGAGACTTCTCATACAGACTGCTCTTAGACCTTCACTTTAAATGTGGACATGTTTGCCTTAATAAACTCATTTTTTAAAAATGCAATTGTCCATAATATTCTATCCTTGAATATACTGAGTTATCATTGACACTAGCACTAGTTGCTTCTTTTACAAATATTGGTTGATCTGCTCAGATAAATAAGGCGTGTAGTTAAAGTGGAATTTAAAAAAAAAAAAATAGTGAATAGACAGGATTTTTAATGTAGAAAACACATGCTTTATCTTTTCTGCATTTATTTATTTTTATTTATTTCAGGTACTTATATAGTGCCATCAATTTACACAGCGCTTTACATATATATTGTACATTCACGTCAGTCCCTAACCCTCAAGGGGTGTACAATCTAAGGTCTCCAACTCACATTCATACATACACATACTAGGGGCCAAATTAGAAAGGAGCCAATTAACCTACCAGCATGTCTTTGGAGTGTGGGAGGAAACCGGAGTACCCGGAGGAAACCCACGCAGGCACAGGGAGAACATGCAAACTCCAGGAAGGTGGTGCCATGGTTGGGATTCAAACCAACGACCCTAGTACTGCCAGGCAGGAGTGCTAACCATTTAGCCACTGTGCTGCCCCATTTAAGGTATTTATCTGCCTGTCCACCCCTGTGTGTGAGGAGCTCCCTGTAGAAATTCGGTAATGCCAACGCTTTCTGGACTCCCACGCATTGCACAAGAGTGACGTCACCCCAACCTGGCCAATGAAAGCTGACAGAAACCAAGAAGCTGGCTGCCTGAAGATGTCAGCGGCCATCAGGGAGCTCTGGGACATCGCATCGCTGAATCCAAGGTGAGTATAGTTCTGCTTTACATGCCAAAGCTGCTTACGTTTGATGTTTCATGTAGGCAATGGATACACAGTATTTACCCATATGCAAAACAAATGTATTAATCAATATTGTTTACTTTTAATAACAACCATTTTACAGCTTTAAATACATAAAAAAAAAAGTTCACTATCAACTCGTACCTGGCGGATGGAGCTGGACATGCTGTGTGTGTTAGGAGTTCGGAGCGATACATTTAAAACTATCACCGCATTCACCACAATAGTAATAGTGACGACGATGAGGAATGTTAAATATCTGCAATAAAACAAAAGCAGAAATAACTCTCACCAATAACATCATGCAATTATAAAGTGAAACACATTTGCTCTAACAAAAAATGCTAATGATGGCATAGTTTTTGCTTGAATTCTTAGGTATTTCTTCTCTTGAAGTTTATTTTCTCACATTTGAAAAATCTTTAAATAGAGTCTCTGACATCTACACCAAAAACTTAATGGAGCATAAACAACTAAGCAGGCAGTAAAGAGAGGATGTCTGAAAATGTAAGGGTAGCTGAGAGCGCCACATACTGGCTAAATAGGTAATATTTTATTTTGACCAAACATGCACACACAGGGGGTTATTTACTAAAACTTGATAGTGAAGAAGCTGGTGCAGCTCTGCATAGAAACCAATTAGCTCCAGCTGGTTTTATTCCCAAAGCTTAATTGAACAAGCTGAATTTAAAAGCTGATTGGCAACCATGCACAGCTGAGTGCACCAGTTTTAGTAAATCTCCCCCACACTGACATAAGACTGAGATATATTGTACTGAATAGACATTGTTGGGTTAGGCTCACTTTACAATGAGTGGCACAGCCGTGGAAGTCTCCGGAATTTTCTTGGCAATTAGGAAGAGAAAGACGGTTTGAGCCAGGAGGATGTTGATAGACACCGTGCATTTTTGTCCTCCAGCTGGAAGAGGAAAACATGTTGGTTTTAGAACTGTTAATAATGTGTATGATCACATAAGCCATCTACACAAATAAAAGACATATGCTTAATGTCTTCTTTCTTTCTACCCCAAAGTATAACTCAAGCAAAACTTTTTTTTCCAGTTTTGGACAAAGTGAGAGGGTTTAGAACACCTATCCCTGTTAGGGACATTCACCCTCTCTATTTTTACTGTTTACTATTATCATTGAAAGTGAAAAGTGAAAGAAACTTCCAAATGTTGGGTTGTCCCCAGAAAAGTAATAGAGGGGAAATCTTCCAATGGGGACACTAATTCTGGTGACTTGGGTGGCCCCAAGGAATTCTCTTAATTTGCAGATACTGTATGTCTTCTCACTTCATGTTTCAGCTTTGGGGCAGGTGAAATCTCCCCATTGGGACATAGATGGCAAAAAAGTCTGAAATGGGTTATAACCCTCCCTTACAAAATGAAAAAAGGTTTTGCCTATAGTTCTACTATAACTATACTTGCATTATCAATCCATTTTAAAAGATACTATTTTAAAAGGACTGGATTTGTGGAAAGGGAAAACAGGGGAGGCAGTTACACACTGAATTTAGCATAGGTATGTCTTATAACAGCGTGCAGAAATAAATGTATAATATGCTGAGAGGGTCTATGTAGTCAAAAGAGAGGATGACACAATACAATTAGCTTATTTCAGTGTTTCACAACTCCAAGTCTTCAGATTTCATTACAATATGTCTGATATTTCCTGAACTACATTCACAGTTAGAATTTTGTTTGCTAGAGAAAGAATTTCCATCCTACTCTTTTAAATTTTCTTGTCACTACGGTGACCCCACTAACCATTATATAATCAAATGAATGCTCCAGAAACACAATTTTTCAACCAAAATGTTACTGACGCACAGAGAGCTTAAGGTCACACCTCCCTCACTGGAAAACTAGACAGCAATGAAAACATCACAGACTCTTTAATTTTTTACCAGTCTATTCAAGTCTAAAAAAAGGGGGTAAAAAAGGTATTTTTATAACACCCTGAAAAAATACATTAATATGCTAGAGAGGATCTATGTGGTCATACGGTAGAGAGGATGACACAAAATTATAATATTTTATAGCCGTGTTTCACAAGTATTCAAGTTCCCCAGAAATCACATTTTCCGAGTCACTGAACTAATCAAGATACAGATCAGGAAAGTCAAAGAAATGTTGCCTGCATCTACATATGGGCTCAGGCCCAGTGCCTTGAATTACTGGAGCCAAAGGGTAAACATGACAAACAGACAAGAAGCATTTTTTAGAAAAAGTGGTCAGCAGGGACAGCGTCCATAATCATCCTTTACAAAAGGTTTCCTTTAATGATATTGAAAATATTTGTTCTTTCATTCTGCATCCAAAAGTGATTTTTCAGGAAAAAAATGAGGAATGGAATGCTCACATACAGGAATGGAAAGAATAGCATTCATGTGATTAGATGACAATAGACATTAAAACTCCCTATGTGATATTGAAATTACAATTCTTTTTTCTCCAACTGCACTTGAAGGATCTTTAAGGTACCCTGTCTGGTAAATCACTTTAATGGGATTGTCAGATAATACCTTTGGCGGGTAGGAAATAAACCAGGACACTGACAAATGAGATAAGCACACAGGGAACAATGATGTTGATGATGTAGAAAAGAGGTTTCCTCTGTATGATGAGATAGAAGACAATAGATTGATAGTTGATGTCATCTGGCGTAAGTCGATGATCTATGATTTTTTTGGCTGGCATGTGTTTTATTGCCCATTCCCCATTCTCTATGAAAGATAATGAATGTAAGAAAAACAACTGCTGTAACTGATCAAATCTATACATTTAACATTATAATATGTCACTTTTTATTATCATAAAAAAACGGAATATATTTATTTTTTCTTTAATATTCAATATGACATCTTACAATTTAAATACAGTAAAGCTTTTAGCTTGTTTTGATACCTGTAAATGCTTCTGGGTCTATTGTAATCCACTCAATTGTAAGCCCTTCTTCTACTGTCAAGAGTAACTCAATCTCATTGGCACTGTACGTCTGTGACCTGTTTAAAGGGTGGACATTGATCAACAAATCTGACTGATAGCATGAGACAGGATGCAAAGAAGAAATGCTGTATCTTTAGTGCAAACACATTACATAGCATTTTGCAAAGTACATAAAATAGTTAAAATCATTCCCTGCATCAAAGGGACATTTAATCTAATGATCCTAATACAGTATAGGCCAAGAAAACAGTGTCTTTGGTAAGAACGGGACCTAGGACCCCTAGCATTACAAGCCAAGAGTGCTACTTGCTATACCTTGTACATAGATACATATCCTATATCAGGATGCCCAATAGCATGCTCAATGTAGAAGGGTCAAGATGCTTATTTGAAAATAAAGATGTCTGTTGGCTTAAGGATGAGCGTCAGGAATTTAGCCACTTTCTAAAAAGTGCCAGATTGCTATGGATTAAGACCAATGAGGTGAACACCACCTCATGTACCTATCTCTTTAACTTACAGTTTCCATTTTTGCTGAACCCCATGAGCATAGCTATTGCTGTACTACCAGCTCTCTGATAGCTCCAAGAGCTGCAGAGTCACGAGAAGCTGCTCTGCCCACTGTAAAATGTGTGATTAAACCAATGGTACCCTCACTAAACAGTGTTCCATTGTCTATTTAAAGAGGGGAGCATCAGCCCCTTTGTACACAGATTTTCCAATGTAAAAATCTCTCTGTGTTTTTATTAGTGCTTCCAATTAGGAGCCTTATTTTTGCTTAAACATCACAACAGTTTGTCGAGTTGTGGAGGAATTGCTTCGGAATGTATATTCAGCATATTTGTTTCCAAGGGCTCGGCACCATAGCAGTCTTATTTTGGCCACAGCATAATTATGTGCTTATTCTGGCTACCCCTACCCTAATTTTTGAAAGTGCCAGATATTTTGACCTAAGTATTTAGGGCTCTTTCCATCACAAAGACATAAAGGAAACTTTGCCACACACCAACTTTATATGGACCCCTATTTACTGGTGGGAATGAATTGAGAAAACTACACCACACTTTTAAACTTTATTTTTGTTGCATTAAAGATATCAGAACTTGTCCAGCCCATCTTGCTACCTACAGATTCTTACTGGCTAGTATAGCAGCCCATCATAGTGATGGGCAAGTAGAGATGTGTGGGTGGTAGGGTGACTTGCTTTTGGCTCCAGTGTTCATATTTTAGGCCCAATATGTAGAAGTTTGCAGAGTGTTGTCTCTTCAATGTTATCTCTAGCTAAGGCCTGTGTAGCCTCAAGGCTAGTAATGAGTGCAAATTTTATGATCTCTATGCTGCCATTTCCGACACAATACTGTGAACAAGAGTTAAAAGGGAAACTAGAATTCTAGTAAAAAAAGCTTTCTAATCATCATACAAATCAACTGTATCATTGCTATCACTTGATATGCATGGTATGTGTTATTGCAGATCTGTGGTATTTCAGATCATGAGATCTAGGTGTTGACAACACGGCACCAGTATCTTTCAGCACACTGTTGTCAGCAGATGTGTGAGAATTTGGCAGGCACAGCTATTATTGTATACTATACATAAACAAAAGATTCACCCTTTTGAAGTCTGAAGCACTGTGTAGAAAAACTTGTGTTGAAGTATATCTATGGTTAAAGTGTAAAATTACGCATTCATTTCCACATTGTGTTTTAGTTATTTCTAGCCTTCTCCTGTTAATCTGAACAACCTTGAAGTTCGTAAACTTGCATTGTGAAGATCCTCACACATTTACTTCCTTGAATTCTGCGGCACATAGTCACTATGTCCTGTGAGTAGGCACTGCTGACCAGAGCTGACCTTCTGAACTAGGAGGTGCTGAGAGGAGGAGTTTCAGGAGGAGGAGTCAGTACAGGAAGCACTGCTTGCAAGGAGCAAGGTACCATGGAATATGTAGTCTCTGAAAATTGAAATTAAACAGCAGAAGCTGCACGGCATGCAGGGAATCCAGGAAGTTGTGGAAAGAGATGACTGGCAGTCAGGCAGAGCTCACAACATGTAAGAAGATTATTCAAGTAAGATTATTCAAGTAAGTATTTTTATCACAAGGCTGATGTTATAAAGTGAAAGTGGATGTGGTGACCATAGATTTCATTTACGTATTGTCTGTTTACTGTATCACTGTATTATTTCACAATATATATTCCTAATACTAAACACACTTTAAGTACTACAATACATCATTCCACATGTAGATCACTCTAAACTTACTGAAAAACCATGGAGCAGTTCTGCCAGTCGAAGGGAAAATAGGTGACCACCACAGGGCAACTACTCTCATAGATGGCGGGAGGTAGCCAGTAGACGGAGCCATCAGAAGATACTAAAGTGTTAGCATAGAGGGCAATGTTAAAGGTGCCATCCACACTGCAGAAAGAAGAAACATTTTTATTTTTTTTACACTTTCATCAACACTCTGTGTCAATAGTTATGGAAAACTAGACATGAAAAATGTCTTTTCAGAAACAGCTTTAGTGAATTAAAGATAGTGTCTGAAATGCACCTTTATGGTGTATGAATTCTAAGTTAGGGGACATATTTAAAAAAGCAAGCGAGTGTGACATTCACCAAACATGCACTGGTGGTGAGTCATTCCCGATATATTAAACACATTGACCATTGTCATTCTTGGTTGCTCAATTGCTTGTATGTAGACTGTACCCAATCTTTCAAAAGCCAGAGACAGACAATTTTTCTGAAGACGAGATAGCAGAACCTAGTGATATTACAAGTCAGTACTTATTTAAACAAATTGTCATTTCATCTAAAAATCCTATAATTATAAAGGTAGGTGTAGAGATCTAACAAAAATAAACACTGGGTCCCATGGACAGTCAGTGATTTGAGAGCCATTATAAAATAAACCCCTATTTCACAGCAAAACATTTATGACTTTGCTCAACACTTAAAATTTGTCTGCCCCTATTCTGATCCCAACTGAAACAAACAATACTTGCTACTATTTCTGTAGCCGTGGGTTCCCTGTATATTAAACACATTGACTAGGATTCACCTGTAGTGAATATTTGGTAAATGTCACATACACTGCTTGAATTGTAGAGAGTTTGTGGAAACCGTGTTGAGAACTTGACGTTATTTTGTGTTACTACATGGAGTAATTAGATATGACATATTGGGGTTACTTTACTAAAACTGGAGAGTGCAAAATCTGGTGCAGCTGTGCATGGTTGCCAATCAGCTCCTAACTTCAGTTAAGCTTTGCCGTGGGAGTTGATTGTTTTCTCTCAGATCTGCACCAGAATTTGCTCTCTCCAGTTTTGGTAAATCAACCCCATTGTATTTCCTGAAATGAAATGGTAGCCTACAACATGGCACAAGTTAATTTACATTTACATACATTGTACATGTACATGTATTTTGTGAACTATTTTTTTTTAACTTGATTGGCAATTTTGATATTAGGCATTTCTGCACTAGGGAGGAGCACATGGGTGTTGAGCTGTTGACGTTGCAGTACAGAACACAAATGTACAGCAAAATGTATGCCTAAGTTTAGCCAAATAGCTTTAGAATCTTGGTTCATTGTCATACTGAATATTACTTACTTGTTTTCCAGACCAACATCTGGGAGCCACACCATAGTGGAAGGGATACGTGTAATTATAATGCCGCTGTATTTCTCAGGATCCCAACTGAGACGATAATCTTTCCATTGCTAAAGTAATGTGAAAAATAAGAAAAAAAAAGTCTACCAGTAATTAGATTTACATCATTTAAAGCAAGATCACAATGTTGTATAGAAGAGTAAAATAATTTAAAATCACTTTTTCATTTAAAAATGCATGCTGTCAAAAATTAGTAGTTTTGGCAAACTCTAGTTACATTTCTTGCTCCGTAGGAAATCCGTAGTACTGCTCGGTTATCATACACAGTAAAATTATTAACATTAAACTATTAACATATAAATTAAAGCCCAACTATTTGTCCCGGCTGCTGCAGAATATACTGTAATGCTTGTTTTTCCAGGAATTCTCTAATAAAGAGGGATACTTACCTTATCACACAGTTACATCCTTTTGGGTTCCAGTTGTGACTACCGGTCCCCCAATGCTACCTTTTCTGTCTCTGGTCTAATCAGTCCCCCTCTATCTGACATCATCACATAGAATGAAGAACCAATGGCCACTGCACATCCTATAGAGTGCCCATCCACATTCTGGAGCTGAAGAGTGGCAGAAGGAATTGGAGCTGCTGTGGGGCTGTGAATTAAGGTATTACTCTATATTAGATCATTCCCTAGTAAAATATTGTATTCTATTAATGCAACAATACCATGGGTTTATGCAACAATACCATGAGGCAGCCTATAAATTATGCATTTTTTTTCGTTCAGCCAGTAGGTTGAATGAAAGAAAATGCCTCAATTCCCCATCCACACATTCAATGTGGATGGGGAATCCCTCCCACTGTGGTATTGTATATTGACAGCGGGGAGCTTTCCCCAGTATCAGAATACAAGTATCAGTGTTGCCATCTATAGAATGCAGCACTGATCATTGGGGAAAACCCAGTAGACTGGCTACACACAAGTCGATCGATAGATTGACTTATGCACAACCAGCCTGCCCATTTGAAATTCAGCTGGTCCCTGCTCAGCTTGCCAAATTTTGATACATGCATAGCCAGCTTTAGACCCTGGTAAGTATTTATTTTAAACTATTTCAATAATAATTTCAGCCTAAATAAGAAAGCAACATCTGACATTAAATTGCATTAAAAGAGTATATATTTTTTTACTTAAAGTGCATATAAATGGGCATTTATGATTTTTTTTACTAGGAGCCTAGAAAGCATTGCACCCTCAGTCAGCAGATCATGGGTGCCATGCAGGACTCCTGCAGACCTGTCAGTGTATCTGTGTGCTCATACCTTGTGCTGAGACACAGATTCACACTGACAGGAAGAGAGAATGAACTACCGCGGCTCTCAACAGCGCTGTGATAGTTTTTGGAGAACTACAAGCCGACAGCCATGAAAACTGTTGGGACTTGTAGTTTTACATTCACAGAATTCTGTGAATGAATGATGCGATCAGGTGGGAGGAGCCTGGCATAGCCGCATTTTTTAAAAAAGAGTGACAGTAAGAATGGGGAGAAGATCGCCGCTAGCTGTCACTCTATGGAGTGGAGCGGGCAGCTTCTTTGGCAGTGGGAACCCATTCCACCGAAAAAAAGGGGTGGAAACATGTAACATGTTCCCAAAGGTAAACATATCCTTTACTGATACAATTCATTGAAACCTGCTTTATGATATGATGGAATGTGCACCTAGAAATTTGTAGTTATGATTATGAAAATGTATGCTGAAATGCGGTGGATTAGATGACCCAGTGAACAGGCGTACAACCTTAGTTAATAAGGCCCAATGGCTTTAATATGTTATATGAACAAAGATGGGTTCTACTGGAATATTATAACAACAAGGTTTATAACTTATTTTATGTACATACCATTTCAACCCAGACATTGGTAGTCAAAGCCTCTTTTTTTTCATTCTGAAATTGACAATAAAGTAAAAATGATCTCTCTGCAAGTTAGAAATGCAAATTATTACAACAAGCTTATAGACAGATTATAATATTAAACGTATTGGTCAAATATACAGTACCTAGCTGTATAAAGTATGTTTAATTAAAGTAGTCAATTGTCAGATAAACAATGGTGATTTATCAACTCTGGAAAGAATAGAAGTGGAATTACTTGCATCAACATATGAAGAATTAAGATCAATTTCCTCAGTATAGGTTAACCACTTGTCCAGAGTAAGTATAGTATTTAAACATCCTGAACAGCAAGTAGTTATACCATGGGGTCTTGGTACCATTTTGTAAAGCCAGGACAGAATAAATGATTACACCTGAATGGTTACCATTGACCTGTTTTCCTTTTCTTCAGTTTTCCAACAGAACCATTGTATTTATGAATACTTGTAATTACTTCTCTTTAAGTATACCATGTAAATAAAAACCTGCACTGAAACAGCATTTTATTGCCATTTATTTATTTATTTCAGGTACTTATATAGCGCCATCAATTTATGCAGCGCTTTACACATATATATTTTACATTCACATCAGTCCCTAACCCTCAAGGGGTGTACAAACTAAGGTCCCTAACTTACATTTATACACGTTAGGGCCAATTTAGACAGGATCCAATGAACCTACCAGCATGTCTTTGGAGTGTGGGAGGAAACCGGAGTACCCGGAGGAAACCCACGCAGGCACAGGGAGAACATGCAAACTCCAGGCAGGTGGTGCCGTGGCTGGGATTTGAAGCAACGACCCTAGTACTGCCAGGCGGAAGTGCTAACCATTTAGCCACTGTGCTGCCCATTGATGACCTTCTTAGAAAATGCTTAATATCTGGTTACCACTATTTTGAGTACTTTCTGACATATTGACCCCACAGAGGTCAGCATGAAGCCAGGACTCCTAATGTGCATTAATGTGCTGGGTCAGTGACTGAGAAAGTATTAATGTTGCTACCCATGCAGAACAGTCCCTATTCAAACAAAGGTTTTTTTTTTACTAAAGCTGGAAAATGCAAAAACAAGCTCACCTCCTGCCTACAAACCAATCCGCTTCTAACCTCAGCTTGTTCAATTAAGCTTTGGCAATAAAACCTGGAATTTGATTGGTTTCTATGCAGAAGTGAGCCTGATTTTGCACTATCTAGCTTTAGTAAATAAACCCCATGAGTTCTTCTTTACAGCTTACTGTCCTTGCCTTCAATCTTGGTATGGTCTTGAGGAGCAATTAACTGCTAACAACAGTAAAATACAAATCTCACATTTAAGTTATTTTGCATACTATTGAAAGTATCCAGTGGCCTCAGTTGAGCCTTAAAGCAAGCATGTTTTTTTTCTGTTGCATAGGCAAAGCAGAGATTTGCTGTAAGAAAAATAGAGAAAAAATATTCAAAAAAGAGGGACTCAACACCTGTGTTTTTGAGGTGCCCAAAAGAGTAACACACAAAACACTAGTTATAAAATAGCAGGGGAGGATACCTCCTCAATTTCCCTTTATTAATACAAGGGATAAAATATTAAAAGAGGCATCCTGTCTCATTTCTTAGGTGTCAGTTGTGACAATGTAACAAAGACCCCTTTTACTCACTATGCTTAGATGTAGGCATGGGCTCCTTTACCTCCATTTTCCACAACTCACTTGGCTCCTGGACACTCCCAGGGAGTATAAATTCCTCAGGTTCCCATCTTCAGCAGCTCAGAGACAACACCTGATGAGGCACAGGTAGCCGGAAAGTATTCAGCAGCCAGTTGAGAGGCCCTCCACCATCAGAACTGGTGTGTTGGAAGTCAGCCATGAGCTTAATAGCAGACAGCTTTTCCTGAAGACCCAGCTACTGTGGGGAGCTCTCCCCAATTACTACCAGAGTACTGCTGCTCCAGTGGGGTGGGCCCTTGTCCTTGTCCTGCTCAGTAAACTGCAAAGTTATAGTTACTCGTTCTCTTATCATTCGGTTGATTACTCATTCTTTTAACACTGTGGCAAAGAAATAAGACATCTACTAAACTGAGACGTTTTCCCTGCAGTTCCACCTTTAGTAGCTGAATGTAATACAAGATTAAACCATATTAACATAATAAGAGATATATATAAAAGCAATACATACCAAAGTTATCAGGTTGGTAAGTGTCAATTTTATGCTGACACTTATAATATCGCCATCTTTTTTTGATGGACGCAAGTTTCTGTTGTAGTTATTCATCAGATCATTCAGGAGTCTTTCTTCCTCATTGTGAGCCAAGATAACTGGGATGAGAACCATAGAGAGTATTGGCATAGTTGTACAGGTCCTAACGGGTACTGTATGTTGCTATAGTACAGAGCAAAACATTGTCTTCCAGAGGTGCACAAGCTACAAGTTCTGGCATGATGGTATTTGAGGTTCCTTAGCAGAAAATATTCTCAAGTTCCCAAGCCGGCTTTATTGTGCACACTAAAGTGTATGTTTCATAAAGTCATGGTAGTGACCAGGGGCGGACTGACCATTTGGAAACTTGGGCACTGCCCGAGGGCCTGGGGTCAGTAGGGGCCCCATGAGATGCCCCTGGTACCTTTTTCATAGACTTTTTTGAGTTTGGGCAAGGACACAGGGGCCCCATGATCCCCTATTGCCCGGGGGCCCCATGAGTTGTCAGTCCGCCCCTGATAGTGACTATCGTGGCTTAATTTCACTGTGCAGCAGTTTAATAAACAGTGGTGAGGAGCAGAGATGATGTTCTCCAGTTCTTATCGCAACTCAGTGAGAAGCTGCTTGTGATTCCTATACAAAGGCCAGCTTAATTAGATGCAATAGAAGCACTTCATTGTCCCTTTGTGTGATTTATTTCACTCCCTGCTTCCCCACCCCAGAGGTGGCGATAACAGGGAGAGAAGAGGAAAATGGCCGCAATCTGAGGAGGAACCAGAGTGATTATGTCCCCTTTTCCTCTATAAATACACTTAGTAACAAGTCTCACAGAAATATCTTAATCTAAATAAAAACACAATTATTTAGAATGGTCCCTCTCACATACTGTAGGTCTTTTAGTACCTTTAACTTCATTTTTTAACTCTTACTTTATCATCTTTCATATTTTATTTTTCATGCAGAATTATTTAAGCCCCTGACCATATGAGATCATGGACTCAAATCTCACTTATATTACACATCGCAGCCATTCACCATGTGTTTCATTCACTTCTCTGCTCATTCAGAGAAGAGAAGTGCAAATACTAAACCAGCTCTCTTCTGAGAGCTTTATATGCAGTGAAGGGCCCCAATGTGTAAAAGCAGGAAACATTGCAGGTTAATAGATATTTTGATGCCACCTGATTTGGTGTGACCGGCTGACAGCTGGCAGACTGGGCATGTAGGAACTTGCAATGTCCTAAAAACCTACAGAAAAATGTTCCTCGTCTGACGAATACAAGCTACATGTATATTTTTATATACAATTCAACAACAAGCTTGAGGGAACAAATATAACACTCTGGCAATGTACCCATCAATATTAAACAATACCTTCATTCTTCTCAATGATAAGCCTTTACCATAAAACACAAGGACTATTTATGTAGGACTATACAAATGCCGGGGGCACATTTATCAAGAATACAACCTGTTCATGCAGGTAAATGAAGAATTCATATAAATTCTTTAACACAGGCATTATAGTTCATTAAAAAAAGTTATAGGTAAAATAATTTTTACTGTGATTGGTTTTACTATAAGAATATGAAAAAAATAAATCTTTCCCTGGAATATACAATTGCTGCCCTGCAGCTGTAATTGACTGTATAATAATGCAGTCTTGTCTAATCTTAGTAAATCTTGTCATATAATTAGAGAATCAGGTTGTTCAGCCATATGGTATACCAGGTGACCCCACATATAGTGCAATAACAATATCCATCATTAGTTTCATTCTTTCTCATTCACCTGACTGCTCTAAACTGATGATGAGTGAACATGTCTGGCTGTAGAGCTGTCATTGTTTCTTGTAATAACCAGTGGTAATTTCGTTGATGAAAATATTTTTGTCATCATTTTTGTCAGCGGCATGTTTTCAGTGATGAAAACTAAACAAAAATCAATTCCAATTTTTGTCAACGAACAAAGATGTGGGGGATGGGGGGGGGGGCATTTCTTGTAACTAAATTTGGTTTTACCTATAAAGACCTTATGTAATGGCTAAATCTGTTGATGTGTAGTTTGTTCAAATGTTAATGCCATAAACAATAACTTGTTATTAGATTTTTACTCTAGGACAGGGGTTTCCAAAGAAAGGGCTAGTATACTGTCCTTCAGACTTTAGGGGGGCCGGTTGTACCCAGAGGGAGAAAACAATGCCTGATCTTTGGTATTAGGGGCAGAAAAAAGTTGGTGCCAGTGGGAACATCATTGTTGGTGTTGATGGCAGGAATTATGCCTTAAGGGCTGGATAAAGACAAGCAGAGGGTCGCATACGGCCCCAGGACCGCAATTTGGAGACTACTGCTCTAGGAGTATTTAATGAGTTTGGAAATTCTAGAGAAATGCTTAAATAATATATTACAATTTAACCTCCCTAATGGTATTCCCGAGTGTAGCTCGGGGTAAAATGTCTGTACCAAAAGCGGTAACCCCGAGCTACACTTGGGCTTACCTTGCGGCGCTGCATAGGGAGTCCCTGCAGCACTTACCTTGTCCTTCACTCCCGCGATGTGTCCCCTGCAGCGCCCCCGGCCATCTCCTTTGGCTGATGCCGGCATCCAGCTCCTGTGTTCCGGTCCCTGTGACGTCGGGACGTACGGGCGCCGCCGGCGGCGGCGGGAAATTTTAAAATTTAAAAAAAATGTCATTTTTTTCAAAACGATTTTACATAGTAAAACATTGCTGTTTCAACCCATTTCACATACATTTTGTCCCTAGTGCTCTGTCCTGTCCCCTGCCTGCATTTTGTCTGTTCTTTCTGCCTGGAAACTTAGAAATGTCCATGGCGTCCAAAAAGTGTCCCTTTAGGTCAAAAGCGGGTTTAGATCAGCTAGAGAACAGCGATAGTAAATCAGAACCACTTGCAGAATTGAGTGATAATGATTCGTGGGGAAATTCGTCATCAGACACTGAAAACAATTTTGCGACTTTGCTCAGCGATGTGCGAACTTGGCGCTATATTTCAAATTTCAGTGTTTTTGGTTTGATTATATTATTGAATTAAATGTATCATTATTATATTATTATTTTTTATGATTATTTATTAAATTATAATTTATGATTTCGTGTTTCAAATTTTATCATACCCGGGATGTTTACTAGACTCTTGTTCGGACAGATTTCAGTGAGTTATTCCTAAATATTACAGCCTACATTAAAAAAACTACATATTTCCATGCAAAATAATGGTACCACTTTCAGCACCAAAAATCTGAAATAATCATACCGCCAGGGAGGTTAACTAAACCCATTAGATTTTGGTTGACTAAAATGTACTGGGGATTTTAGTCGACTAAAATACGACTAAAGCTAAAACAATTCAGATGACTAAAATATGACTAAAACTAAATTGCCATTTTAATCAAAAGACTATGACTAAATCTAAAATGAAATTTGATGTCACAATTAACTATGATAATAACTTATTGAATTAGCAGACATATCGAATGTGATGCTTCACCTTTGATCTGTAACCATAAACATACATATAAGTAAGACATAAGAGCACTGCAGGTACAATTCAGGTAAGGTTCCTACCTGTGAAGTACAGAAAGAGGAGCAGCAACATGTTGTCCATGCTTCTAACTCATGCCTTATGTGCGGAATGGATTAAACCTCCGTACAATGTCTGGAATGGTTATTTTAGGGACTGACCAGACCTCTGGGACCTTATCACCAGCTGTCCTAGGAATAGTCAGCTGTTGATACCAAAGATGACAAAGGGAAATAACAATGTCCTGCATTACTGGACAATTGGACCAGAAAGTAACAAAGAGCTTGTGCTGACAGCAGAGGGCTGCATTGTATTACAAGAAATGGGCACAACACTTAGTACTGTATTATGAGCTATGCAAATCAAAAGTCAACAAATAAATTGATAAATAAAACATATAGAACAAAAATAGATAAATAATTTTAACTATATAAATTGTCAAGATGGTTGAAGAATTTGTGTGAAAAATTAAGTACAAGCTAGCCTTTTCAAATTCGATTACAAGAAAGCTACATTTGAACCATATGACACTTAGAAAATCAGAGATTGAAATAGATTTCTTTTTACTTGCACTTTATTAGAAAATGACTTGTCTAACAAATATAAAATATACATTTTTATAATTTTTTTAAATGGCAGTAGAGTATTCCTTTAAATATTTTATTTATGACAATGGCATAGAATATGATTTATTAACTAATAAGTCTTTGGTAACTTAAAGCAGTATTAAACACGAAACCAAAAACGTAATATATTGCAGCTTATCAATCGTTAGATGTGGTGGCTGCACCAGTTTTTGTATCTTTGGCTTTTTTTCCCTCTCTTCTCACCTGGTGATCTGGCCAGTAACACACCTCCTGTATTAGTGAGACACCACTCAGGATGAATAAGTGCAGGAGGCACAGCAGACAGCAGCATGGGGGGGGGGGGGTGTTAAATGTATTTACACTAATCAAATTGGACCCAAACTCCAGCTCACACTTTATAATCAGTTACAGCAAACTGTTTTTTTTCATATTGAGATGAAGGTTTTACATGAATAAATAAAAGATGATAATTTTAAGCACCCCTGCCAGTGTTATCTATTTTTTTCTCATCCATGTAAACTGATACATTCTGTTGGAGAGCTTGTACTTTTGAAAAACAACAGGCTTGCTAGCTCGATCGCCAGATGAAAATAGAAGAAAGAAAGCCTTAAAAAGAAAATGAATTCAGCCATCACATCTAAGCTGCTATGTATTAAATGTTTGCTTTTGGGTTTAATACCACTTTAATAAGCTGCTGTTATATGTCAAAAAAAGAAAGGACTCATCATATTCCAGGCTGCAGGCTGCAGTGATTAAAGTGGTGTAACTGTAAAAGGTTTTTTACCTTAATTCATTCTATGAGTTAAGGTAAAAAACCTTTTAAATGCAGTTCCCTCTGCAGCCCACCATAAATATGCATCTGAAACCCAATCTTGGTCCAGCACTGTGCACATCTGCAGCAGTCTTCTCCCCTCTCCTGTCTGTTATAGGCTTAGCTGAGAGCAGCGAGAGCCATTGGGAACCCAATAAGAGGAGGATAGAGGCTGCCCCTTGCAAAACCGTTATACAGA